ATTAAAAGAAAAAAAAATCATACGTGATATAATAAACATTACTCTAAATTTGAAGAAATTAACTGCCTGAAGGGCAGTTGTCTCTTGCATAAATTGTTCTACTTTTCTTCTCTCCTCCAAGGTGTTTCCTCCTCTCTATTATAATTGAGTTTATATACCTTGAGTGTATGCTTTAAAGATAAGGAAATCATTTTCCTTATCTGCCTGGTATTTTTGCTTAGGTTGTGGGCTGATTTTGAGGAGGTAAACTTGTGAATTACAAACACTCTATTTCTAGACAAATTGTAGCCCTTACAATTCATCTTTCCAGCTCATATGGTATATGCATTTTTATAACTTTAGAATTCCATGTACGGACCAAAAACCAAGATAGTGTTGGCTTCAACTTCAATTATTTTTATTCACTGGTGGGTCATGGAAATTACCACTTGTATCAATCTTTTTTTTTTCCCTTCAAAGTGAGCTACATTAAATATATATTAATAGGATATCAGTAGTTACAGTCTAAGTACCTCAAAATTAGCCTTTAATTTTCTAAAGATAAATTACAAAAATCTTATTAAAATCTTAAAAAATATATATTACTTCGGACAGAAACTAATGACATTTGAATTGAAGATTTTCCTGTCTGATTTCAAATTCAAAAGTCTTCAATGTTTATGCAGGTTGGCAGATGTTTTATTCCTTGCAGAACTCTCCCCTTTGTTTCAATATTTCCCAGTAATCTCTTCTTATTTGGTCTCTGTTTACATTATCATCTATTTAATTAAATAAAAGAAATACAAGAAATAAACAACACGAAACCACATAATACAAAACCATTTTGCAAAAAAGACGAGACGATTTTGCTTATGTCCCATAGACAGCCAGCAGATTTGATTTGAGAAATTGCCAAGGACTTGATATCCTTGCGTTCTTATCTTCAAGATCTCAAAGGCTGCCCTTCTTTATGGTTCCTGGGAACGATACCTTGACCTCTAATAGTCATATTTGTTTTTATGGTAATCCGTAAATATTATTGATGACAAACTAACCATTTAGAGGATGAATAGGAAAGAAAAACAAAGGGATTTCAAATAAAAACACTACCATAGAAGAAGGAAAAGTAAAAATTTACACAAGTGAACAATCTATCTAACATCAGCAAACATGAATCTAGCAGATAATTACCCGTGTAATAAAGATTTTCTTCTTACCTCTTTAACCAAGTTGATATTCACTTAACAGTTAAAGAAAAATATAATTTTCTCTTAAAAGATAATATAAATTATATTTTAAGTTTTTATCTAACATTTTAAGTTATTGGGTTGTGATACTTCTTTTACATGATATCAGAACCATATGAATTAAGTGGTCACGAACCATTCTCATTCTAGTTGATAAAAAATTACTCATAATATAGTATAAATTCGTGCAAGTTTCAAGTCGAAAGAGTTTTTACTCGAAAGAGTGTGTTAAAGAATAATATAAATCACACATAAAGACCTCATTTGATCTTTTTAACTATTGAGTTAAGATTATCATTTTACTTTGTATCAGAGTTTTATTGACCAAACGATTACAAGTTAAAATCTTATCACTCTTATACAAATTTCATGCTGAAAAAATTGTTTCTTAAAAAATATATTAAAAAATAATATAAATTATATATTCAAAACTATATAATAATACTCCAAGCAATGAAGATATCATGTTTTTATCTTGAATCTGCCATTAATCAATGTTGGCAATTGAAACAGTAACTAGTTTACAGTATTTGGAACATACCAAAGGGCCCCCTATAAGGACTATCAACACCACCTATCTTCACATTGATATGATATTGTCTACTTCGAGCCTAAGCCTTTACGCACCTATCTTCACATTGATATGATATTGTTTACTTCGAGCCTAAGCCCTTATGAATTTGCTCTTGGGCTATACCCAAAAGGCCTCATACCAATGAAGATATTTGTTCATCCTTATATACCTATGATCCTCCCCATTTTTAGCCAATGTGGGACTTTGGTCGCATACCCAACAATCCTCCCCTTGAACAAAGGACCACCGAGCCTCTCCTCAAACAATCATTCATTCGTCCACTCTCTACCAACTAGGATTCTTCTTTCTCTTCTTCATCATGTTGGGGTCAGGACACGTCCATGAAGCATCTAGAGAGCACTACCTGACTTGAGAGTTTGCTCTTTCTAGATCAACTCCTCTTCACTGTGTTGGGGTCAGGACACGTCCATGAAATACCTGGAGCACACCGCCTATCCAATAGAGCAGATCCATGATCGTGATCTAATTAGAGCCCACCACCTTTTGTTCGGCATTCCGAGGATTCATCCACCATGGCTAAGTCTATGGCATGGCTCTGATACCACTTATAAGGACTATGGACACCACCTATCTCCACATTAGTATGATATTGTCCACTTTAGGCCTAAACCCTCATGAATTTGCTTTTGAGCTATACCTAAAAGGCCTCATACTAATGAAGATATTTGTCCATCCTTATATACCCATGATCCTCCCCATTTCTAGCCAATATAAGACTTTGATCGCAAACCCAACACCTCCTCCTCTAATTGTCATTTATCATTTCGTTTCGAAGAAACTAACAAGTAAAAGGATTTTCTGCAAAGACAACATCAATCTACTGCACTCACTAATATGTGGTATACCAGTCTACAACATTCATTTTCCAAGGCATGCATGGTCGTTGAAACAAAAATTACGAAAACCATGTATGGTTTTCATACTATTCTTCATAGATATTCGATCTTCTTTCAATTAAAAATGAAGAAAAGGTTTTTCTTCTTTGATTTTATCTTTAGCTATAATGACGAAACTTCGGTTACAAAATTTCCCAAACACATGTTTCTTCAAATTTCATGTTTATTGTGGATTATCACCTCGAGAATGTTTCCTTTTGAAAATAATACACACACGCATATGACTTTTTCAATTACGAAAGCAACAAGAGTGGCTTCTTTGTAATTGACTGCTTTTTCGTGGCATACAAGACTTGTTAACAAGGTTTTGAATTAATTTATTTCGCTGTGTGGAATAAAACCTACCATTCCCATTTCGTTATCATCTTTGTTTGATTAATAAATTAAAATCTTCAATTATTAATTCCTCGTCCTTAAATTTATGGTCCAACTTGAACCGTGTCCAGGAAAATTACACAAGGTCAAATTTGGGGGAGTAAAATCTTTCAACTTTATTGAAAATTCCTTGCTTCAGGAAGCACAGAAGTCTATAAATACCTCCACACTCCCTTTGGGATATTACAAGTTTCAAAACTTAATTACATTTCAGCACTAGCTACATACATCTCCCAAGGCCCTCAGAAAGTTTAAGCTAAACACCTCTAACTCTTCCGCTTCTAGACTCTCGATCAGTACTATTAGCTAGCAATGCCTTTAAATTCCTCGATCTCTCATATCGAGACTTTAAGATCACCCATTCAACCCCCAACTTTTGGAAACCAAATCACTGTTCTTAGCATCGATGGAGGTGGAATAAGAGGAATCATACCTGGAACTATCCTTGCCTTTTTAGAGTCCGAGCTTCAGGTAGTCTAGAAATCGGTCTCTTTTAAGGGCGTATTGTTGCATGTCAAATAGACCTGCAAGATCATCGATTTTCTTATGCGTGTGCTAGCGCATGATGATAATATAAAAAATAGAGTAGAATAAGAAACTACAGGGAACGATTCCTTTGTCCCCTTGAGGTCTTGCTGGCAGCCTTTGCCCACCTTCCACAGGCTGTTTTTTTGTAGTTTTATGCTTTTGCTTTCGCCTTTTTATTAATAGTTTCATCAAAAGAATACATCACACTTGCATGCAGGATAATAGTTTATTTATATCGGTATATAATTGCAATGTCTTTTTCCAGGTATAAAATAATCCGTAATTTCATCTCCCATCACTGACTAGTATGTTTTGCTATTCAATTTGTAGAAGCTGGATGGTGCAGACGCAAGACTTGCAGACTACTTTGATGTCATTTCAGGCACCAGCACTGGTGGCCTCGTGACTGCTATGCTCGCTACCCCTAACGAGCAAAACCGCCCTTTATTTGCCGCCAAAGACATTAATGACTTCTACCTTGAGAACTGCCCTAAAATCTTTCCCCAGGACGGGTAATAATCCCATATAGGAATGCCATAATAATGAGTTAAATATAGTATATCAAGTACTGCTTTAAAACTTCTTTATTTTCCTCCTCCAAATGTCTAGATACTAACTGTATACTCTCTGGCAATAGGTCTCCATTGGCCTCTGCTGGAAAACTGATCAGGAGTTTGAGAGGACCAAAATACGATGGCAAATTTCTGCATAGCATTGTCAAGGAAAAATTGGGAGATAAACGCCTGCACCAGACCATGACAAACATTGTGATCCCAACTTTTGACATCAAGCGCCTTCAGCCAACAATCTTTTCAAGCTATCAGGTTCGTTATATATACAAACACAACTCTTAAAATTCTATGTGTTCCTTTAGAAAAGAATCGTGAAAACACTGCAAAATATATGTCCTTACAAGACGTACCGCTTTATGCTTTAGGTGAAGAACAACCCATCCACGGATGCCCTTTTATCTGATATATGCATCGGGACTTCAGCTGCCCCAACTTACCTCCCTGCCCATTATTTTGAAACCAAGGACCCATCAGGCAAAGTCAGAGAGTTCAATCTGATTGATGGTGGTGTGGCAGCAAATAATCCGGTATGTTTATCATTTATCTTCAGCTCTTGAACTTGCATAACTCGTAACATATTGATGAATCCTATCATTAATTTCCTCCTGAATTTCCAGACTTTAGTTGCCATGAGCGAAGTTTCGAAGGAAATCACTCGGAAGAATCCTGACTTCTTCCCCACAGCGCCCATGGATTATGGTCGATTCCTAGTCCTGTCCTTGGGGACTGGTACGGCAAAATCTGAAGAAAAGTATGATGCAGATGAAGCAGCCAAGTGGGGTATCTTGGGATGGTTGACCAGTGACAATTCTACTCCACTAGTGGATGTGTTTACAGAAGCTAGTGGCGACATGGTTGATCTTCATATTTCCACTGTTTTCCAAGCCCTCCACTCTGAGGAAAATTATCTTCGAATTCAGGTATATATCACGCTCATGTGGTTATTCAAGATATCAAATTATATGCTCTCACGAAGTAATTAAAACTAAAAACTAGAAAACGAAGAACCCTGACTATAAGATATGTGTGAAATGCAGGATGACACGCTGACCGGAACACTTTCGTCCGTGGATGTTGCCACGAAAGAGAATTTGGAGAATCTTGTGAAAGTGGGTGAGAAATTGTTGAAAAAACCAGTATCAAGGGTGGATTTAGGCACTGGAGTCTTTACACCTGTTGATAAGATGACAAATGAAGAGGCTCTCATAAAGTATATATCTGCTCAAGTCTAAATATTATAGTGATTTCTATGGCATCTTATTTCATCTTGCTGATTTATTTATTTTTTTGACTGTATAGGATGGCTAAATTACTGTCAAGGGAGAAGCATCTTCGTGACTCCAGGTCACCAGTTGGAAAACTTGCTACTTCGAAGTGAATATGATTCGTAAACTAGATTGTCCCGAAAATTAATTAGACCCAAATTAATAAATTTGGAAGAAACTAAGGAGATTATCTGCATAATGTAATTCTGCTGTTTTTATTTTTTTTATTTTTACAAGAAATGAATAATATGTAATCCTTTCCGTTGTTAAATATGAATCATCCCAGAATGCTGTTGCACTTTTAAAAATATTTTTGCTTGCTCATCTTCTTATAATTTCGTTTACCTTTTGTTCTTCTTGCCTTGTGGTCTGACAACTCAACGTGTTTATCGTTGTTTTGGCTATACATACATGCATCAACACACACACGCACAGTACACGCACGCACGCACGCACATACATTTAGTTTGTTCACATTCTCTAATATTTAGCTACTGATCATAGCCAAACCTACTTATTCTTTCTGAGCTTGGATATGATCATATCCATTGATTCTTACATAGAATCTTTGTCGAAATTATATGGTTCATTTTCCTGTTTCCTAGTTTTTCCTTAACAAGACCATGTAGATATTTTCCTCGTATTTTTTCTGACAATGCTTTGATTACCTTTGTCACAGAAGGAAATAATGAGCAGCTACCCGAAAGATTAAAGAAAACGAACGAAACTGTCAACTATCCAAAAGATAAAATAACACATATTTCACCCATAAATTGTTTCTCCGAATTGGATAGCCAGCCAGAAAAACGAATTTTACCTGGGTTGTGGAAAGATCTTCGGACTCTGATTCCGGCAAAAATCCTTGATGTCTTTGGCAGCATATATAGAAGTGAAAGAGAGATCGCAAAGACCCTGCAGGGACAAAATTAAATTAAATTGTTTTCTTGAAAAAAGGGATAGAAATATAAGTATAAGTAAGAAAGACTTGCAGGTGAGACTTCACGTGAATTGTAGGTTTAGAAGAGTAGCTAGGTGAAGTAATCACGAGAGGAAGGAACAAAATGCTATTGGCTTAAATTGTAGGTTTATATATATATGTTAAATTATGAATTTCCCCCGTTCTTTATTAAAAACAAAATGCACATTGATTCTTATGGAGTGGTGTTTAAACTACCATACGATAGGCTTATGAAAGCAGAACGACCATTTTAAGACAATTTTATTGAATCGATCGATTGAACGCATGTTTTCGGCATGGTGTTTTGTATGTATGTTCTAAAAAAAAATGAAGCAAGGAAGTCGACGGCATCATTCAGAAATAAACCTTTATTATTAACTAGCTACAAGTATTGTAAATGTTTTTACTGTGAATTGTATTATTCTATAATGTAGCGGTCTTGTAGCGGTCTTATATGTATTTTTATTATGAATTATGAATGTTTTTATTATGGATTGCACTATTTGGTTTTGCTATAGCACGGGCTATTGGATAATATAAGTGTTTTTATTATAAATTATACTATTTTGTACTATAGCAAATTTATAAGTGCTCTCACAATGAACTATATTATTTGGTGGAGCATGTACGAGGCTGCAATCAAACAAATTCCAAGCACCAAGCTGAAAAAACACCCATTGGGCCCGCGAACACCTGGCGCTTGGCCAGTAGGCCTTAGCGATGGGCAAGCTACGCTCGCCACATGGTGCTCGGTCTATCTAGCCTTAAGCGTGGGGCTACCTCCATGTGTGCTAGGTAGATTAAAAGCACACATGGCGCTTGGACTGTTGCTTTAACGAGGAATATTATTATTTTTATTATAATTAATAAAATAATTCATAACTTTAAAAGAAATTATTATTATTTATATTATATATTTTTATGATATTTTTTATAAAAACAAAAAGTGTGTCTACGACGCAATATTATTTAATACATTCAATAATTTTAAGTATTAGTATAAAAAATATTATAATTTCTATTATAAGTATTATTATTTTTCTTCTAATTCAAAGTATTCATCTAAAAAATATTATTGTTTGTGTTCTAAATATTATTATTTTTCTTATATTTTAAAGTATTCATATTAAAATATTATTATTTGTATTCTCAATGCTATTATTTTTCTTATAATTCAATGTATTCATATCAAATATATTATTATTTGTGTTATAATATTATTATTTTTATAATAATTAATATTATTATAAAAATAATTACTAAATTATAAAAAAAATATTCTTAATATTGAAAAAAAAACCATAGATTTTGATTTGAAAAGTAAAATTAAAAATTACTAATGCTATTATTATTATTATCATCATCAATAAATTTTAAAAAAAAATTATTATCATCAAAGAAAAATCATGTGAAGACATGTGACACTTGAGCAGTTGCCTGTGTGCTAGCAGACCAAGCGCTCACACTACGCTTGGCCTGCTTATGTGCTGGACAGATCAAGTGCACATATGGCACTTTGATTGTTGTCTTTGTGATGATATGTCAAGCACACACGTTATGCTTGGATTCCTTGTCTGGGGGCTGGGCTCCCCTTGCACACACGTGGTGTTTAGGTTGCGCTGGGAGTGAGTCATGCATGTACTCCACTTGGGAACATTTGGCGTTTGGGTCATGGCACTAAACCCATGATTCCTGAGTTCTAAGATTATAAATATTACTATTTTTATTATAATTAATATTATTAATAAAATAATTAATAAATTTGAAAGAAAATGTTATTATTAATATTGAAAACATATTATTATTTATATTATTTATTTTTATGAATTTTTTTATAAAAATAAAAAAGTGAGCCCGTAGTTTTATTAAAATATTCAACAATTCTAAGTGTTAATATAAAAAATATTATAATCTATGTTGTAAATATTTTTATTTTTCTTCTAATACAAAGTATTCATATAAAAAATATTATTATTTATGTTCTAAATATTATTATTTTTCTTATAATTCAAAGTATTTATATCAAAATATTATTGTTTTTTTATATTTCAACATATTCTTATTAAATATATTATTATTTTTATAATAATTCAAAGTTTTAATATTAAAAATATTATTATTTGTGTTGTGAATATTATTATCTTTATAATAATAAATATTATTAATATCAAATTAGAAAACAATTATTATTAATATTGAAAAACAACTATATGTTTGATTTGAAAAATAAAATTAAAAATTATTATTATTATTATTATTAGTAGTAGTAGTAGTAGTATTATTGTTATTATTATTATTATTATTGTCGCACCAGACATCGCGGCGGCCTTAAAAATTTTAAAAATA